ACACCGTGATAAACAACACGTATCTACTGATTTTATTTCTTTGTACAATCTAGATGTCAATACATTTTACGGCAGTTTTGTCACAAAGCGACTCATAAAATCTCACGTTACATATACGTAACATCTGGGTGACTGGGCAAATATGGTTGTGGGGGGGGGGGGGGGGGGGGTGGGATTAGGGGCGAAGCCTCTACAAACAATTTTAACAGCCTTCCCAATTCCAAATATTTTCTAAATTGTTTTTATGTTTTTCAATATTATAATAGGGCTTCAGGCACCAAGCTTCAGCATCTCTAAATCTCAAATGCTGTTTGAGCCTATGCTACATACCCAAGGTTTTTTTTAGAAATATTTAAGAATGTTATGCAAATATGATTTTTCTCTAAAATTTTACGTGACTACATAAAAATAAAAAAATATAAAATATACACTAATAATCTTAAAATTGCTCAAATATACACTTTTCCTAAAATATGACGAAATATGCAAAAATATGCAAATTCAAACTTTGTATTTAAACTTGCCATATTTTCATACAACAAATTTATAATTTACCTATAGATTAATCTACGACCACTACAAAAATCTTGTTAATGCAAGAAGTCTTGAACCCTAGTCATTATACTCATAAATCATAAGTCATTAAATTGGAAATAACTGTATACTCTACAGTTGAAGAAAGGGGGACTTAGGCAATTGGCAATGTTCAATACTTAATAATTAGGAAAAAACATAAATAAACAAATTACCTAAGTGATTATTATTATTTATTTTTCAAGAAGTGTTTTTGAATGTTATCCAAATATGATTTTCCTCGAAAATGTGACGTAGGTACATGAAAATAAAAATAATACAAAATATCTCAAATATACCTACACAAATCAGCTAGAAATGTCTCAAATATGCACTTTTTCTAAAATAATGATAAAATATCCAAAAATATGCAAATTACAATTTTGTATTTAATTTTTACATATCTTAAAACAAATTTATAACTTACCTACCTTTTTTTCTCTATGTCATGTGCCGAACTTTTCAGACTTTTCAGTACTATAATGTGTGTTAGCCCCCATGTAGCATCGTTACATTAAGTCAATAATTTATAAAATTTCGATTGATCTCATGTTTCACAAGTTTCTTTTCCTCAGCGAAGAGGTTATAATAAGTAGGTATATATAGTAAACTAGGAACATCATGAGAGCTATCCTTTACAGTGGGGATACATGGGGATAGCCGCGAAGCGTCTTTTCTCCTCATATAAATTTAAATGTACAGCAATTATTACCTATTGATTTTATCCAATGATAATCTCGGCCGAATAAAGTCCGCTGCCCCAGACCTAACGTTCAATAGGGCCATAGGCAGTGTTGTAAAAAATACTTTTAAAAAGTATTTGAGTAATTACTCAAATACTTATAAAATAAAGTATTTAAAATACCACCCAAATACTATCTATTGTAAAGTATTTGAGTATTACTCAAATACTTTTTAGAAGTATTTGAAATAATTTTCAAATACAAAACAAAAAAATACGTACGTATACGACATACCTTACCTACCTAATGTTCGTATTATATTTCGCTATGATAATATACTATATTGGTAGGTAGTAGGTACCGAAACGTACCGTTCCAATCGTCGTCGAGTGTCGACGATAAACAGACGGTTTCTCAGAGTAACTAATATTAATTAGCTATTAATAGACGAAAACTAAAACCAATATAGAATTGTTCATAAATGATAAATATATATTATAATATTATTAAGACATTATTATTATTTGACAATGAATAAAAAGTTGAAGGAATAAAAAAAGTATTCAATAAAATAGTATTCAATAGTAAAAAAATGTATTTAAAATACCGTTCAAATACTTAAAAAATAAAAATATTTGAAAAAGTATTCAATACGGAAAAAAGTATTTGAATACTTTTACTCAAATACTTTACAACACTGGCCATAGGGGACCTATAGATTCCGCCAATGTATAGCATCGATTCCGCCAGTATCGACTCCGCCAGTTCAGGTATTCTAAAAACAACCTATCGATTCCGCCACCCACCAATTTTTACCTCAACCTGCTGCAGCTGGTACATAGCTATTTCTGTTATGATAATAATAATATATCTACAAAATAATTCAACAATTAATTTAAATATTAAAAGTAAATTAATAATAATTACATTACAATATTAAATATACAAAACAATACAAATAAAATTTGATAACATTTTTATCATGTGTACCTACATTATATACATATTACATATATGATGTTGTCAAATGTCAAAAGTTGTACAATATTATTATTTGTTTATATACAATATATAATATACATACCTACACAAAACAAATATAGTTTTAAGTTGTACAATATTATTTTAGATTCTGAGCGGAGCAAGGAAGCTAGTGGTTTTACAATGGTGTTTATTTTTTTTTTTTTTTATATCCTGTATACAAGATTTCTAAAAGAAGGAGTGCTTTGATTTCAACATATAGTACCTTATCTTTTAGCAAATTGGACCAAGATGGTACTTAAAAGAGGTCATTTTTCGATTTTCTCAATAGTTATTTAATGCCACGGGAAAAAGTACTGAAAAATTACGAAAAACCGCTTAAAATGGGATTTTAATTTCTAACAATTTGTTTATCACCGTAGCAACGAATAAAAAAAATAATAATTAAATAAATAAAATAATTAATGACAATATAAAATATACAGACTGACAAACCGTCTCCGTTCAGAATCGTTTTTCTTATACAATGATATTATATCATTGAATTCAAGTTTAATACAATCCATTAAACAATGACCAACTTGTAACCTACTGTACAGCTGAGCGACATCCACTTACCTGCCTTTTTTATAATGTGATGATGCCAAACTAATGAAACGCAAATAATTAATTTTTTTAGCTTCATAATTTATTAATAAATCTACCATTACAATTAACAATTGACTATAATAATTGTCGTTTGGGAGATTAATTTTTTCCCAGGCGGAATCGATAGGTTGTTTAAACTTGTTTTTAGACTACCTGTACTGGCGGAATCGATGGTGGCGGAATCGATATACCTTATCCCCTAGTATAAAAAGGTCTGGCGGAATCGATGAAACCCAGTGCTCGAATTGGAAATATAATAGAAGGGGTGCTAAAGGACTTTTAAAAATTTAGCGTTCCACTCAATGATTTAAACCAAACTAACCCGTGGGGGGCTTCGCCCCCCACACCCCCCATGAAGTATTTTCAACACAAATCAAACAATCATTAAAATTAAACAAAGGTTACACTACAACAATAAATAAATATTTTTAAATTACAAACAAATCTTTTATTTTATTTTAAGATATTTTATATATTATTTAAATTTTTAAATTTTTAATATAAGTATTCCATAGCTCTACATATAAATGGTTCTCTTCAATATTTTGAACTACATAGGTACTCTTTACAGTGTTACCGACCATCCGATAACATGAATTTTTAATTTTAATCTCGATATAATATACATTATTTATACACATTATTAGTATATCAGTATATGTAAGCCTGTATTATAAACACGGACTAAGATTTATAGTCTGTGGTGTGGTCCGTGATTATAATAATAAATTATCTTATATATTTTGATTTTTATCATTAATGAAATTTACAATTTATCGCATATTTTGTTCAAATTGATAATACATAATAAATATCTATAAATAAACGTTTTATAAGTTTGTCAATAATAATTTACACGGGAGACGTACCGTCCCCCGGTTCAAATTAAAAATATAAGAAGGGGTACGCTAAAAAAAATTAAAATTTGAAGGGGAGCTCCGTCCCCCTGCGCCCCCCCCCCAATTCGAGCACTGATGAAACCCCGTTCAATAGTCCTCTGCTCGGACCGGCCTAAAAGTCTCTTCTGTCTGCTTGGTGTTTATTATTATTTATTAATCATATTTTTACGATTTTTTTTACCTAACCTATAGTAACCTATCACAACTAAATTATGATTTTTGGTCCGCTGCTGAGAAATGTAATCCTGAGTTATATCATAGATATTATTATAATATATAGAAAGGATAGGCTCAGTGGCGTCATCCAGTTTTCATAATAGAAGGGGAAAAAGTTTTGACCAGGCCAAATGGGTAGGTAACTTAAAAAAGGTGACTTCATTGGGAAGGGGCAGCCTAGATAATAACCGGCGCTACCTTATGAGTGAACTGAAAAAACCCTATACACCCAAAGCCGTATTTTTTTAAGCCCCCCTCCACAATGAAATATTTACATAATTTAAAAAAAAGTCTAAATTATCTATTTACAATAATAATCTACGGCAACTTCAGAAATATTATTCATCCTTGGATTACCTACACTACCTAGCTACAAATCAAAAATAATACAGCAATAATATCAATAATAACTAGATGCTTACTGTATCGTCGTCGTCGTCTGTCTCAAGTCTCTATAGTGTGTTTTTCCGATTTCGGAAGTCAGTAAATCAGTCTTTGTAAGTAAATGGTAATTATAACGATACCCACAAAAAAATCAAGTTTAAAAAAAAAAGAAATGTTATAACCCTCTGACTTAAAACTCGGTTGACCGGCACCTTTGAAAAATTGCAGGAGCAGCCCAGGCACCTTAGGCTGCCACCGTAGACACGCCTATGCGGCGGAAGGTTGTCGAGTGGAGATGCGCAGAATTGGCGCGTTCTCTCCGATTTGTACACCGGTATTAGGTACACTGAGATACTCAGATACACCGAATTTTATATGTTTGTTCTCATTTTTTTCCCAGACGAAGTCGAGATGTACAGCCATAGTATAAGATGTTCACACGTGCCACAGCTGACATACAGATATTCTATAGAGAGCCCTAGATACTCTAGATATTTCGATAAAAATCGAAATACCTACACTTTTGATAATATTTATATTATATTATGATGATGATACACATTTGGCGGGAATTTACAACCAGCCAATTTTAATCGGATTGTTTGAGTACTGTCATCTAGATGGTGAAGCTGACCCGATCGTACTTCTCCGCCACCGGGACGCGACATTCGCGGACGCACATCAACACGAAACGGTACCAATCGGCGAACGTCAACCGCGCGTCCAAGGCCACCAGCAGCGAGTGCAGGAGATCGTAGCGGAGGTCCACTGCCGTCGGACAGGCCTCCGACAGGAGTGTGGCCACCGCGCTGGTCGAAAATTCGAACATGGCCGCGGCGTTGGCCACCTCGTCGGCCAGTACGAAGACGACGTCCAACAAGGCAGGCAGGACGCCGTCGTTTCCGCCGCACAACCGGATCATCTGGTGCACCGTGATTGTCGCCGCCGGGCTGTCGGCGGCGTCCGTCGTCGTCATGTTTCGGTACATGTCGTACATGGCAGTCAACGTCTGTCGGCTGTTGGCCCAACGTCCTGCCGCCAACGGGTCGTTACCCAGCGCGTCTACTGCAGCCGCCGCCATCGGTGTTGATAATAATTTGTTTATTATTATAATATTGGGTATAAACCTACTTTACCGGACACCCTTTTTTCTTCTTCGATATACGTGGTTTTTCACGCTGAATTCAAAAGTGTTTGAAAAAATTTCCGGAAACTTACCGTTTAAAAGTTATGGAAATTCAAAGCTGTCGATATCATAAAATATACTTTTGAATGGAAGAGCGAGTGACCACGCTGGCCATACATGTATTTAGAAACAATATTGAGGAAAACCGAGGTTTACCTGGGGTGGTTTACACAGCATATAGGGGGAGGATATTTTCGATTTGCGGAGCGGTGCGAGCGTAGTGACGAGTACCGATACACGCGTAATCACTGCAACTTTGAATTTCCATAACTTTTGAACGGTAAGTTTCCGGAATTTTTTTTAAACACTTTAATTCAGCATAAAAAATCCACTTATTTTGAAAAAAAAAAATTGAAAAATAAGGGTGTCCGGTAAAGTAGGTTTGTTCCTAATATTGTATAATACAATTTGTATTATTATTTATTATACAGTAGAGAGGCATAATATGTATAACAGGAAGACCTGACAGAAGAAATAAATATTTTATTCTAATCAATATCGGTTTTTAAATTTTGTTTCGTATATTATTATTTAACCAGGTTTAGTTATAACTTATATGTACTCTTCCTCTTCGATAAGAGGTTCCTGCACCTCAGTAAAGGGCAATGCTATAGTTTCATTTTCGCTTTTTGTATGTATTTTTCATTTGTAAAATATTTTGACTGTCAATAAAAATTATTATTACATAATTTACAGTCACTCGCGTTTTACGCAGTATGATAAAAAAAAATTTTATTTTTTAATACTGAACAATTTTAAATTTGATCAAGAAGTTTATCTTTTAGAATTGTTTAAAATATCAATATTTTTTGGAGTAAATTAATTTAGAACGTAATTAAGACTTTAAAGTCTTAAATTATTTATTAAACGTATCACTTTTAGTTTTGTCATTTCTTCCTGTTACATCAATACACTCTGTATAATACTATAATGTATATCGGTAAGATATAGAATAAAGATATATTTAAACAAAATAATAACGATAACAATAAAATAGAGGACCTATTAATGAAACAGTAAAGTCCGTTACGGGGAAATTATATTAGGTATTAAACATGAACTAAGATGTATTATCTTAGGTCATGGTATTAAATACATTGATAGATCCTAAAACCATAGCACGCTACTCGATATTTTTCCTCTATAAAGAAAATCTTGAATCATAAATATGTTATTTTAAGGCCGGTTAGGTTAGTTTACATTTTATATTTTAGTCGTTCCTTTATAATTATAATACTTTCACACCAACTCAAACATATATTTATGTTAAAATATATGATCGAAAAATTAACTAATACAAAATTTAAAAAAAAAATAGTTCAAAATATAAAGTACAATTTGTTGATCTATCCTATACTGTAAAAAAAGTTTTTGCTGTAATGGATTTTTCTGGTTCTTCCGCAGAGCTTTTATCCTCGCCAAATGGTTTTTAGAGTTTTGCAGTACATTACAAAATTTCTCGCCGTGGAATAACGAGATATGGCTTCTAATACTACTGGATAGTAAGTACGGTACTTAAAGTGGTACAGAATAGCAGATTTAGGTGTGATCTATTGGTACTACTTTGAAAGTGTAAACGTTTCAAGTGAACTTAGATAATTCGTATTGTTCATAAATTTTAATTTTATTACTTTGTTGGAAAAGGCACCCACTTCTTTAGAATTTACATTGTGTTATTTATATGTATTGTATAACAAAGTATTTAGTCACAAATAATAAAGAATGTTTTATAATAAAACAATATCAGTATAATAAAAACATTAATGTAGAATTGTGCCTATATATAGGTACGTTATTATTATAATATTACTTATTAGCTCTTAGGTACTTATAATAGGTATTTCTTATTTATAGTTTAGGAGCTCTAATTAGGACAGAGAACTTCTTATTTCATGAAGCGAAATTTTCTCCATGTATCATAGCCGTTGAGAACCGTTGGTTTAGAATCTAAACTTTAGACAGTCCCCCTGATCAACTGTAGGTGGCACCTATGTACACGAGCCTCCCACTGCAGGATTCTAAGCATAGGCGCAAATAGCGTTTGGGATTTGGGGGGATTAGCCCCCCCCTTCCCCTATTTGTGCCTATGATTCTCAGTGTATAACGATTTTTTTGTTTACATGTACTTAATTCTATATTTTGCTCTCACCGTAGGAAGTCGGGACGATGTCGATTTTGACGTGTTCCTCGAAGAGTTCGCTCAAAGCCAAAGCCATCAATCCGTTTCCGCCGGCCGTCCTGTTGGCTTTGTGGGACGTCCGCCGAGTATCGTCGTGAGCGACCGTCGCCAATGCGCACACGGCATGAACGAATTGCCAAAAGTAAATGGGTTCGAAGGGATCGTGTGCCGAGGCGAACGCATATTTCTTGTTTTTAACTATTTCACAGTCGAAACGCCGCGTAAAACAATATACGAATTATTATCATTATTATGTGCAAGTATAAATAAATAATATAAACATATAAATGCAGTAACATAAAAAAAATTGGTGTTTCTCAGTTTTAGGTGACCTACCCCTCATAATACTGTTATACTGACCTATTCAATTTCCTATTTTTCTTCTATCAATACCTACTCATCCATATATTTAATGTGTTGCCTGAGCGGCTGAGCAACGCTTGGACCCTATGTTACACGCCACTGTATAAATAGCTTAAAGCGTTGTGCATACTGCGCTCTCAAAATTCGTGGCAAACGATTGATCTCCGGGGACGAGACTATAGGTAGGTACCATTATAGTCGTTGTACTGTATAATAATATAATATAATATACGTTAAGTACCATCAACTTCACGAGTTGAGCGCAATCATACGATAATTATATTGCGTAACGAGCAGTCGTAAAGAAGACCATCGTCGTCGTCGTCATTAAAGTCGACTACATTATAATATTATGATACTTATATATAACCGTACGAGCATTTAATTTATAATACACGCTATAGGTATACTATATTAAATTATATGCTCAATTGACGTATTCGTTTTGCGCCAAACCAAGGTACCTATCTCTCTATTGCTGTGTCTAAGTGTGTCGCCGATGAGTAATTAAGACTTAGGTATACGATGTTGTTTTATTTTGAAAATCGTTTATAAATAGTCAACTCGACGATTTATCGCATGTCGGTTATCCGAATTCGAGTGCCTATGCGATGATTATTTTCCACTTTAAAATTTAAAACACTATCACACATTTTGCGACCCGTGTGCTAAATATATGGGAACCGGCTGAACTGTCCAGTTCGTGATTGGACTTTATCGTGGCTACAGCCTATACCTATATATGTATATGGACTGTAATAGACGGTTTAATAATAAAGGAAACTGCAGCAATACACATACGAAAAATAAACGAGATTTCGTAACTGTACTACATAATTTATTATTTGTCTGCTATAGAAATCTAGCTTAAATATCTCATTAAAAAACAAGTCGTGTGTTTACGTACCTATATATGCACAATGCGCATGTCCGGGTGCGTGCAATGTGCGAAAGGGTGAAGGGTGCATAGTGCACGTACACGGTAGTATCGAACTATTTTTTAGGATGTGGAGCACAAGTTTAAATCAACCACCGCACCCCCCACTATCACGCAGTCATACACGATAAGAGCAATAGCAATCGCAAATTTGAAAAAGGGTTTAAGGTTAGCAATATTTAACAGTCGTATTGCCATGTCAGACATATTATAATATTATTATTTAGTAATATTCAATTGAAAACTAAATTATTGAAATAATAAAATTATTAATTGAATAACTTTATCACACCTCAATTACGTGTTCAACGCCACTGCATGCCCCCGTACCAAATCGCACTATAATAATAGTGCAGTGATTAAAATAACAATAATGTACTGTTTTACACTGATATAATACGAGGTGTTAAGTGTTTGATCGTAGGTCTGAAATATCTTGACCAACGTCGGCCATGCGATAATTAATTTCGATATTAATCATGATGGTGTGTTAAACCATTGTTTGTGTATTGTCTGCGTTATTAAATATATACGTGGTACGTGTGCGGAGGTACTTTTTTCTTGAATGGACCCATTTAGATCTACACAAATTATATGTATTGTTGTGAGATATCACGTCGTCACTTTAAAAAATGAGGAGATCTCTTTTTAACGGGGCGTGACGTTTATGGTTTGTATAAGCGGCCGAGTCTTTTGTTTAGTTTTAAGTGCATGATAATCGATGGTGTAAAAGAACAAACAACCGATTTGAATTCTGTTTTTATTGTACACCGCGTTTTAATGTACTTAAAAAATTAATCGTACGCAAAGCGCGATAAAAACGAGAGAAATGATCATACTGTAAAAAACCGCGTTGTCAAGATAGGTGGGTTGTGGGTAGCATAATAATATAGAGTTTTGTTTATCCGACACATTTTGTCACTTCGTATCAATATGAAAATAAAAGTGAAATTTTAAATAAAGAATTGTAATATGGTAAATTCTGACCCTGACGGCGACAGGAAAGAAACGGCGCTATATCGAGCGGTTTTCGAGCTCTTTCCCGTCCGTCAATTATTTATCTGTAACATTTTCAGTAACTGCAGACAGTTGTACCTATATAGTATATATTATACATAAAATAGTCGGAAGACCGTTACCGAACGAAGGTATCTATTGCCCAGGTATATACTATTTTATATTAGCATAATATTGTTATAATGTAGAACACAGTGGCACATTTAAGGGGGAGGGGTGCTTTGGAGGTTTGGAGACCTACTTTTACTATATTATAGAACTTTTTTTTATTTTATTATAAATTACTTAGATATCAGGTATAACGTAGAAGGGATGGAAAACGGGGTAAGTGCCCTATAGGGTGGCAAAAGTTGTAATATTTTAAAAGGCGAAAAATGTTTAAATACTATGTACTTTTAA